AAAAAAAAAAAAAAAAAAAAAAAAAAAAAAAAAAAAAAAAAAAAAAAAAAAAAAAAAAAAAACCAGATTGTCATTCAATAGACCTGGGATGGAGCTCACAATGCAGAGTCTCAAAAAGCTCCTGGGTGCCATTGACACTGAGGAACCACAGTCCACAAGTAAAGGAGAAAGCAGTTGAAACTCTTCCATTTGAAATACTTCTCATTAGCTTCTCTTCATATCATTAGATAACATTCAAGTGGAGGGTTGGTTTCAATGCCTGCCTTTTTTTCTTTTGAAATCGTATTTCCCCAGCAATACATCTTCATCTAGGAAAAGTTAAGAAGCTTGAGGTCTATGTTCCAATTTAAAAATCATCCCCAAGCTCCTTGTCAGCATAGAAAGGAAGTTTCTGGATAGACTCCCTATTAGAAAGCAGATTTTTAAAAATAAGGAAAATCCACACTCCCTAGAGAAAATTCAGCAGAATTGTCCTCCTGGGATTTTAGGCTCCATCCAATTTGGGTGGTCCATCTCTGCCTCCATTTTCTGGCTGAAGAATCTACTTTATAATGGATGTGTGGAGTTCAGAGACAGCACATGGCAATCACATAATAAAGATGCCTAACAGAGAGTGCTTTAATTGGATTGGACTGCGCACATAAGTCTATATCTTAATTATGGGGTGATGCAGCTAAACACCTTTCAACCCTTGCTGGTATTTTCCTACAGCCATCGAAAAAGACTCCTGAGCATTTTCTCCCCACCCCACCCCCCACCCATGGTGGCATTTAGAAGCTGCAGCCAATCTGAGCGAGAATGAAAACTGTCATCCAATTCCTTGGAAAAGCCACAGTCCACTGCAGCCACTTGGGTACAATCCCCGAGCCAGAAGCCCAGGGTCTGAGTCACTTGCAGGAACTGGGACAGAGGGTGTGGGTCAATACACAAACTTAAGGAACCCTAAACCATTCTAGTTAAGATAGGATTAAGCATTTCTCCAGGCGGTTCACTGATGACAGACGTGCCCTTTTGTCTTGGGCTCCTGGGGTGGTAAGGCCAAGTTCACCAGCAGCTGGCTGAGGCTTTACTTATTGTCATGACCTGGAGGGTGCCCAGAAATGCTCCAACTGTTGCCTCACCAAGCTGTGAAGTTATGCTGCGGCTGTCGTGGCTGTGAACCCCGCCCAGGAAGGCCGTGCAGGGCCAGTCTGCAGACCTTTGTATTCTGCCCCCTGGTGCCCATTGAAACCTCAGCCCTGAAGATGACAGCTTATAGTGAGGCTTCAAGGAGCCCCAGCCTTGGAGTGTCTTTACATTCTAACTTGTTCTAGGAAGACCTCCCCTAGAAGGAATAGATAGATATCTGGCTCAAGCTAGGCCCAAAGAGGAAAGTTGAGAATTCAGGCAGTTTGCTGACATATCCAAACCCTCCTCCCAAGTGTCTGGACACCTAAGGCTAAAAGCATCTGGGGAGTTTCTAAAGTTAAATCTCCCAAGGATTATTCTCTATGGCCCCTCGAATTGCTAAAGTCATTATTAAGCGTGAGTGACTCTGCGGTGGCAGCTGCATGTTCCAGCCCTCAGCTCTTTATATTCCTTCCAGGGAATATGAAGCATGGGAGAGAAAAATTAACCCGGTTTGGGGTTCAACTCAGGCCTGACTTTATTAGGGAGCGTAACAACACAGGCCCATTACGTTCATTGTGTTCACAGGGGATTTGCACTGAGAAGCAATATGAAACATGCATCACATTTAAAGATTCACAAGCCTCATAAAAGAGACGTAGCATTATTATTCTTTGTTAGATGTTAGCAAAGTGTCAACATGTGGCCGGCTAACTTCTCACAAGTGTAAGAGAAAGCGGTCTGTTGAGTTTCAATTCCTGCTTTAGTCAAAACAGGAGTAAGTAAAAATTGTGTCTGTTCCTTTTGAAAGGTCTGTGCCATGGAAGCCACTGTCATTGTGGGTCTTTGTGTGCGTGAAATTAAGTGGATGAGGGAAAACCGAGGGAGTGTTGTGAGAGTTCAGCCTTTCCAAAGCGCGGGTGCTGGCTTACTGCAGCATAGAATCCAGGACTGGCACTTACAACCCATCATCACACAGGTTCTCTCGAGCCTATGCGTCAAAATTTCATGTGCACAGAGTGCTGTGGGGATGCAGGCAGAGCAAAATGGAATAAGGTAATTAGGAAAACAAGTCTTTCTTTGTCTTGGAACTACAAAACAAATGATGTTTTATTTGTCAGCAGGTAAAGCCAATGGGGCAGGAAAAGAAGTATGTGTGACCAGAGTGGTTTGCTTACTTATAAAATTAACCCATTTTTAGCATCTTCAAACAGTCATGTCTTTCTAAGGCAGAGGACAGATGTGCTATATAATATTTATTAGCCCCAGGAGAAGGGGCTTGCCCTGGAGAAGTGTTTCCTCCTGGTTCCCCTTCTATTGTGAAATCCTCATGTGCTCAAAGTGTAGTTTTACCTACAGGTGTAAATTAGCCTGCTGATTTGAATTGAGCTAGAGAAAGGTGATGCAGGGAGCCTTCCCAAGTGAGAACACAAATAAACTGCAGAGTAACCACAGCTTTGTCCCAAATACAGAAATTCTCTTTGCTTTATTTTCCTTTAGCTTCCTAATGTGTGTGTGTGTGTGTGTGTGTGTGTGTGTGTGTGTGTGTTAAGAGAGTACTATGATTTTATCTCTTTACTGAGCTACATACTAAAGTTGTCCATTTAGAAGGAATAAAACCACATAATTTTGGTTTCATTAAAATAGTCTTCTTATTTCAAAAGTAAAATTCTTTTCCATTCCCAGGCTTTAAAATACCTGTGAGTTGCCAGCCCCTTGTAGGGGTCAGACTCTCACCAAGACGTTTCCTTTTATTTATTTTTCCCTTTTATAGTTTCACTTATGCCATGATAGTCTTTACCAAAGGACTTAACTCTGCCGGAGCTGATGCTGAGCATTTTAAATGATGGGATCCACATCCTGTGGGAGCAATGGCTTGATGCCAGCGTTGAATTACTATTGAATAAGCAGCAATGAAATCTTTATCAAAATAATCAGTAGTTCCAAAAACCACAAATAACAACAGGAGCCGAGTTGTACTAAATCAGCAAAGGCCATTGAGATATAATAAGAGACTGAGTCACTTTTCTCTACATCCCGCCTCTTGCAAAGTCTACTCGGCTATTTTCTTGCGCAGCCTGGGGGAGGGCAGGTGGAGGGAAGGAAGGGCATTGCTCAGAAAAGAAAAAAAAAATTGACATCACTTAAGTCACATGATCACCAACAACCAATCAAGATGGGTTGTGGAAAGGGGAACAGTTAAATTTGTAATTTGGGTTGTGTGAAAACTTCTTTGGGCCTCATAAACAACCACAGAACCACAAGTTGGGTAGCCTGGCAGTGTCAGAAGTCTGAACCCAGCACAGTGGTCAGCAGGCAGGACTAATCACACTGAATGCAAACCACAGGGTTTCGCAGCGCGGTGAGCATCACCAACCCACAGCCAAGGCGGCGCTGGTTTTTTTATTTTTTTTACTTTTTTTTTAATCTTTAACAATTTGAATATTTGTTTCCACAAGGTGCATTTTTTTTCATAGGGCTTGGGGAGTCCCAGAGGTATCCAGCAGGGGGGAACAAGAAAGAGAGATGCAGGGTAGGGGGGTGAGGCTGAAACAGTGATCTTTCTTGGTTTTCCCTCCGAAGGTAAGAGAAATCATTGAGTCCCCCGCCTTCAGAAGAGGGTGCATTTTCGGGAGGAAGCGATGGCTTCAGACAGCATATTTGAGTCATTTCCTTCGTACCCACAGTGCTTCATGAGAGGTGAGTACACGCTGCTCTTCTAATATGTACTTTTGCTCAGCTTTGCCTGCAATGAAATGGCAGCCTGTTTCACCTCGGTGCAGAGATGCCTCGGTGCCTGCCGGTTCCCTGTCTGGTTTGTGGGAGGAATTCGAACTGAGGCATATGATTACAAAGCTATTGGATTACTTACTCATCAGATGGAAGCTCTTCAGAAATGTTTTAATAAATACTTAGTTACGCTGTTGGAGTGTTCAGTCGGTGCGTGAGAACTTTGTCAAGTGCGAGTAAGTTGTGCTGGTCTTGTTTAAAGGCTTAGAGATTACGAAGCTTGCACGCAGCTCCCTGGGTTTTATTTTGCTGTCCCTTGCCCGGAATGACTGTGTCTGAGTTATCCTTCAGTCGGCATGCTGTGTGGCCCAGAATGCAGCCTGCCCCGGGGCTTAGCAGGCACATGCACAGAGCCAGCCAGGAGGGCTGGTGCCAGTGTGGGGCAGGAGACGGAGGCTCTCGGATAGACTTGCACTAGGCTGGTGACTTCGGGTCCAAAGTGGCAAGGCAGCTGTCTACCAGGCAGAGAGTACAGGAGCCTGACAGACTTGGTTAGGTTAAAATCATCAGCATGGAGCTGTGCTGCATTTTTCCTTGAAGCCTCAATGCAAAGAGGCAACCAGCATCTTTTAAGAGAGAAAGGAGGCAAATCGTGGCATACTGAGGTCTCTCTGAAAAAGCGCAAAGAAGTTTCCTAAGTTAAACATTCTCGCAGCTTAAGTCATTAGATTACAGGCTTATGAATGGGAACAGCCAGGGTGGAAAACCTGTCTCCATTTTTGAAACCAGCCTCTTGAAATGCACAAAGCTGTGGTTGAGCCGTGAGTGTATGTGTGTGCATGTCCGTTTTGTGTATCTTTCGTGGTAAAAGAGGGCTGTGCTTAAACAAACAAAAATAATAACAGGCAATGTCACAAAGGCATCACCGTGTGCGTCAGGGCACGCACTCTGACCAGTGCCCGCAAAGCGTGGCTTGATGGTTTGGCAGAGCTGAGATGGAGTGGGCTGGGATGGGGGAATAATTAATTTTCTGGCTACAAACTCTCTCGAGCACCCAAATAGTGTCTGTGACTCATTATTTATTCATACAGCTAAGTGAGCAGGGGAATGCAGAGGCCTTGCCAGCCGCTTTATCACAGCAAATGCTATTGTGAATACACAGGGCTCTATGTTTCCGGGTCTCTGAAATTTAAAAAGCTTGACGTGTGTGTGTTTCTTTCTCTCTCTCTCTCTCTCTCTCTCTCTCTCTCTCTCTCTGTGTGTGTGTGTGTGTGTGTGTGTGTGTGTGTGTGTGTGTGTTGGGGATGGCAAGGGAGGAGTTAAGGAGAAAGGGAAGAAAGCGAGTCATTAACCAAGTTCGAGCTTCAAATTAAAGAGTTTTCAAGTGCTTCTTTACTGGCAGAGGGGATTTTAGCGAAGTTGAATCACACAGACGTGCATTAGTCACTCGTCTTGCAGCACCGTTCGGTTGGTAACACAGAGACACTGGCCACTGGTGAAAAGCTGCAAACGGCCCCTGGCTGCATTTCCTCTGGGCTGCTAACAAGCAGAGGAAGCAATATTATTCGTAGAATAACAGGAAAAAAAAAAGATCTTCCTGCTTTTACTCTGCTTTCAATACCCGCTCGGAACATGTATTGTTTCCTATTTTATCAACTCAGGAAGGCAGATTCAGGAAATTTTTCAGCATTCCGCTGGGCGATAGGTTGCATTTCAGTGTGCAGTGCCAGCCTCTGGGGCTCTTCTTACCTGCCAACAGCAAAGACAGTGAGGGGACACGGTGACCTGTACAGACATCAGGAGATAGCAGGAGTCCAGCTCTCTCCTGGACAAGCCCAGGGCTCCTGTGCCAAATGGACACTCAGCTGACCTGCCCCAGGTTGAGAATGAGGGTCAGTTAACTTTCACGAGGTGGGGAGGGCCTGAGCTCTCACCAAGACTCAAAAGGGCTAATCTGGAAAGGTTTCTTCATTCCTTCCTTTCAGTGAAAGGAATCCGGGGCCCTTTAGAATCTCTAATTTGATAATATAATATTGAAATTTAATGTCAGAGGGCCAAGTGAAATCTTGGCAATTTCCTGCTTAATTTCATCCAAGTGATCCATCAACATAAATTGTCCTGGTTACCTGTCCACATCATTCACCCGAGCTGGAGAGGTGGCAAAATATCATTTCTGTTGGTATCGTTTGGTCATCATCTTAGAGCTTGATGCTAGAACAATCACCACCCCCGCCAACAAATGGCTCTCCCCCACAGTTCTCAGGGTGTCGCCGTAGCTGGGCTACTCACATTGGTCAATGCGGTCATTTCTGGCGGCCTATAATTTACAGCGTGTGTTCCCTCCCCAACGGCAACTGTGAGCTGAAGGGGAAGACAGCATCTTTGTTTTCTTCCCGGGATGGTACTTTATCAGTCCATGCAATTCTCACAGAAGGAAACCTGTAACTCATTTTTAGCAAGATACCCATGTGGAAATTCAGGGAAAAGAGAGGAGTGAGGCCAAGTAAACCATTGTTCCCTTCCTTGAGAGAGGCAAGCCGGAGTCTGAGAGACTGGCACATGAAATTGATGTGGTCTACCACAGAGAAGTCGGGGCTTTTTCTATCACACCGCACCAGGTTCCCACTGAATTCGCCTAGGAGAGAAGACAAGATGCGATTGAAATTCCTGGAATTATCACACACGGTGTGCAATGCACAATTCTTGCTGAACCCAAACTTGGGTCCCCTTGAAAAGTGCAGTGTGTCGGCGGAAAGAGCTGAGGTAGGTGTGGAGAGGAAAAGCCCCAGTACATACATATTTTTTGCAAAATGCCTCAGGTAGCCTTGTTCTTAGAAGTGGCTTAGTGGTCTGTGAAAAGCCTGAACACTCACATGCTTCTGCGTTCCTAGAACCACAGGTAAAAATCTCAGCGAGACTGACTCCCTGCTTGTCTTCTCAGTGGTTCAAGTTTACCCCACTCTAGGAGTCTTTCAAAGGGAATTGCCGAGTACAAAGCTGCATGTATAAAGGGTGCTCTTCCCTGAGCATCAGTTTGCTGCTTTTTTCAGAAGAATATTTATTAAGACACTTCTTCTGGCTTGACTGAAGTCTTAAGATCTTAAGACTTCAGGCTTAAGCCACAGAAATTTATTTTCACACAGTTCTAGAGGCTGGAGGTCTGAGATCAAGGTGTCAGTAAGGCTGGTTTCTGGTGAGGCCTCTCCCCTTGGTTTTGCAGATGGCTGCCTTCTCCCTGTTGCCTCACATGGTTATTTCTCTGTGTGTGGCTGTGTCCTAATCTCTTTTTATAAGGATACCAATTGCATTGAATGGGGCTACCCCAATGACCTCATTTTAAAACCTTATGTCCAAATAAGTCAAATTATGAGCACCTTTGAGTTAGGACTTCAATACATGAATTCTGGGGAGACACAGTGCAGTCCCTAACAGTGGGTCTCAGCAAATCTGTCTCACCCTGGACCACAAGGAAACTGTGGGCTGGGGCATCCTGGCTGCTCTCCTGGATGTTGAAGAATCAGACTCTGGTTCCTCATTTGTGAGATGGAGTTTCACATCTGAAACTGCCCACACATTTTGAAACTATAAAAAAAAAAGGTGTGATAAAACTATCTACATTTACAATCATGCCTTTGCCACTTAGACTTTTGCATGCTAAGAAACTTTAGAAAATGATAGAGTAACTTTGAAATGTTTCAGTGTTAAAAGAGCAAATGGCAGTCCTCCCCTCCCAAAGAAACCACCTTTTGGCTCTGCTTTCTTGGAGAGGATGGTCTTGGTGCCTCAGACTCACGTTACCAGTGGGGTTTGTAGGAGGCCCTACAGCTGCTCACACAGCAAGTACAGGGACAGGGAGCAACCAGGAGCAGAAGCACTCTTGGAAACAGCAGCTGATTCGATTTTGAATGGCAAGAAGCCTTTAGAGCTTTTGAAAGCAAATGAGTAGCTGAAAGTTTCCTCTGTTCTCTCGAAATAGATCCGAAAGAAGTGCTCAGAAAAGATGTGGCCCTTTACTGAGAAATCGAGCCTGGTGAGATGCTGGGACCAAGGAGGGCTGCACAGCTCCTGTGCACACACAGACTTTAATAAGGAGCCCAAGGCCTAGGGGGAAGTCTGGAGGCATAAGAGCACCTGCTATTAGAGAAAGCAACGGCAGGAGGTCTGCGCGGGGAATGTGCCATGACACAGTGATGGCCTTTTCTTTCTTTTCCTATGTTCTGGCTTTCATCAAATGGCATGTAGAGCCTCTCTCTTGAGCCTTAGTTTCCTCATCTGCAGAGTAAGGGTAGCAATAGCACCTGTTATTAAGGTATGCTGTGTGGACTGAATTAAATAATGGGTGTAAGGAGCTTTGCCCCGCCATATAAAGTAAGCAATAAATCTGAATGGTGGTTATCGATGTTCAGTTATCTAAGATGGCAGCTGGTCAACCTGTGTCTGCTTCAGGGAGGGAGAGGTCGCAACGCCCTGGAGGACATTACGGGAGGTTCCCTGGAGAGAGGGACACAGGAGTTGGGGGAGGGGAAGGTGGGAACAAAGAAGAGAGGGAAGGGTGGTGTAGGCGGAGAGTACAGCCTGGGCAAAGTTAGAGCTGCAGGATCCCACATGGGCGTGAACAGCGGTGGGTAACTCACCCCAGCCTAAGGGCTTTTCAACAGCAGATCAGCCTTCCTTCCCTTGTGACTACCGGTAAAGAGGGTGGAAGAAGAACAAGAGCCCTTTATGAAATTCGACTTAACAAGTTTTGCTTTTATATATGGAAGCTAACTGGGGCACGGTGTCATATCAGTTTTTGGTCTGAACACACAATGACAACAGAGATGTCTCTCTTCATTGAGACTGCTGGTGTAGCTTTATTTTCTCCAATGCTCTTCCTAAGAAAAAAGCCATTTTGCCTGTGTAACTATATGCAGGTTCTCTGGGCCTGCCTCTGAGACACTCCATTTTCCCTGTACCCTGGGGACATTTGT